GCCTTGCCACCGGCTACACTGTTGCGGCAGCTAACGTAGCGGTAACTCCATAGGCACGCCAAGCTGAGTAGAATCGTGCTCTGCTCCGAATGTCACCAAAAGGCACTCGTACGCGGCACTTGACGGAGGTGAAGCATATAATACTTATGAAGAAGGACGCGACTGGAAACATGTTGCACACATACTGAACATAGACCTGATTACCTGTTGCACAGGACTTAGACGTAAGGTTCCGCAGGCACGTAGTCACTCTTATGGTAATGCGTTTACATTCCGAATCGTGTAATGACATACCACTTATTGACAGACATTCAGGTTTCTCACCACTAGCACCACTGCAGTTGCCGTCCTATGGTTGTCTCGCAATGCCACACTGGAAGCATGCGCAAACTGCGTGCCCCAACATTTAGTCTGAATGTCGAACCTATGAACTAGCGATACATAAAAGTGATGACATCTTTTCAACGCATATAAATTTACGTCAGCAAAAAAGATTTACAAATCTATGCAATAGATACCACGAGCGTAATTCCTTCTTACAAGATGATCATTTGTTGGCAGTTCTACGGCGTAATGTAGGTTTGTGCCTCCGACACAATTCGCTCCAAGAAGCGCGTTCTTCAGTCTCTCTTGCATAGTACACCCTCAGCATCTCCCTGAAGCATCTCGAAATATTGTCTCCTCATGTTTTGCTTCACAAACGCTTTTATTATGCTCCAGATTTCATCAATTGGATTCAGTGATGGAAAATATGGCACCAGACGCAGGAATCAACCCAAACGGTACGGTTCCTCCTTGAATACGCGTTCCCACTCCGTGTGGCATGGCGCGTTATCACAGATCAGAAGGCAGTTTTCGATAAAAGTCGAGACTCTGGCATCTAGCACGAAGCAATCACGCCGTGCATCTTTCCTTGTTGAAGCTTCCTCTCATGATGGTATAGTCTATTAATCAATCTCTCGTTAACGCTCCAATCAGATGCAGGTTTTGGCCTGGACTGTTGGGCACTGTACATTGCGCAGGAGTTCCACTCGGTGAACGCCCCATGTTGCGAGAACAAAAGGGATTTAATTTTATTTCATCTATCCACACAACTTGTCTCCCATCGGCCTCAGATTGTAGCAGTGCCAAAACGTAGTCTTTTCTCCGCATTTTGTTCTCATGTGTGTTAGCTGATTCCGGAACTGCTCACAACTTCATGGTAATTAGCCGTCCATCCAAGTATCGTGCAATTGTGCTCACGCTTAATGTTTAACTCAGCCTTCAACCGCAGACGTAGTGTTTGTAGAGTGACCGTGGGTACTTTCGACACCCATCCTACCAGGCAATCAATCTGGCTGTCTGTCAGAAACTTTCGGCGACCCCAACACGCTTTTCTAGTTGTCCGGTTGCTTCCAACCTTTGTATCCAACTGCGACAGGTAATCAGGTTTACATACAGTATGTGTGCAACATGCTTCCAGTCGCGTCCCTCCGTCGAGTGCCGCGTACCAGTGCCTTTTTGCGACATTCGGAGCAGAGCAGCTGTTGCACTAACTGAACGATTCCACTCAACTTAGCGTGCCTATGGAATGGAATTCACCGCTACGTTAGTCACCGCAGCAGTGTAGTCGGTGGCAAGGCGATCACGTGATCTCACGTCACGAACACAGTCCAAAATATGGCTCATGCGAGTGCACACGTGCAACATGTCACCGGACGCACGCGATGCAGCTGCAGGCGTGAACGATGCAACGAATTGAGAAAAGGCATAGTGATGAGTTTGCGATACCATCATTACGAAGCTTAGGTATAAGCGTTCTATATGAAACGTCGTTGATGGACTTTTGCAGGCCTTAATGAATTCTAATCTAGGCCTTACCTGAAGCAATCGATTTCGTTAAGTGATCAAAGAAATCTAGTTTGCAAGGGACACTTGTACGCTCTAGGGGAAATCCGTACTGTACATGCGACGATTGTTTGATATTATGTATTTAAGGATTTCTTTTTTAACGAGGCGCTCCATGATTCCGGGGTTCTAGAGATAATGGTCGTGGAGTTCTTGCAATTCCGTAGCGTGCTTTGAAAGACTGCACTATACTGGCATAGCACAGATGGCTGCAAATGTACGCTGGAGTGACCGTTTTTCATGCTCCCGATCGCTCCAGTCGGACACATTTGGGACGCATTTCGGTCACAAGAAATTTTTCCCAGCGCACCCTTAACGTATACCGTGAATGCATTTCATGACTGAAACTACTGTCAACACTAAGCAGAAATCGATTTCCAAAATATTAACCGCGATAGAGCATAGTGTCAAGCCGAAAATTTTTTGATTGTCTGAAATCCGTTCCAAATGTGTCCAACTGGGACGGCCAATTGCATAAAAAACGGTCACCCGTGCTAACCGAAATTACGATTTTCTTAAAATGTAGACTCACGCGTAATGAAAAGCGACATCAAAAGTTTATACTATTTGTTTACAAATATATCTGGACAAACCATACCATTTATTTTCAAATTCACTTTTTGCCTCTGCGATGGACCCAAAAGTCGCCTATATGGGATGGCTGACCGTGCATCTATGCGAGTAGAGTACACATCTACCCACTTTGCATGAAGCTGTATACGGCCAACTTGAAGTCACAACACGAGCTGCCTCTTTGATTTAGGCCCTGATTGTTACATGTGTTTTCTGTTAGAATTGAGTACACACAGGGGTTAAATACTTATAATATGGGGTTGAAATTGTGAACGCCTAAAGGGTGCATCGGAATTTACCGTGATATTTGCTTCCAAAATCTACCGTACCGCCACTTTTGACATTGACACCTGCGTCCGGCCAAGTATCGTTCTGAACAGCTGTATCCGGTAACCATTCGATCCAATGGATGCCACCATATATTCGATGATCCGAGCGAGCAAACGATGGAGGATGCACCGCAAATTAGCAGATCAACGAGCTTTCATGTTATGCATGTCACTTGTTAAGCAGACACACTCGATATCCCTTCTTGATTATCACTGGCCCAAGCCCAGAAGAGGGAGGCTCTCGGAAGCGAAAATCGCCGTCACCCGACTCAAACTGTGCGGCACCCCGGCTGTCACATTGTGATATTTCCTTCGTGCACTACGGTGCTACGTATTCAAGCGAACTTGAAAGCAATCAAATGAGCAAAAAACGTAAGGATTGGCGATGTCGAAGACTGTTGTTACGAGGCCTAGTGCGGGCACTGGGTAAGACAAAGCTCTAGGTGAATCACACCAGTACTGTCGTTTCCAGGGACTGGATTGTAGCACGCATTCCATAAAGTGGGGTATCACAATAAGTGACGGGCGCACAGCTGCATTGCTTTCCTACTTCACTTAGAAGGAGGCTATGTCTCCCCAAATCGATCTCGGAGAACAAAACTGAACTCACCTTATTATTGGTGGTTCAGTGTTGCTCCTCCTAACCCTGACACCCCAAAACCGGTTTCGTTCTCCTTTGGACTCATCAGATGGAGGTAGCCTGAGCTGGGGTGAACTTCGAGGCTTAGCGTTCAAAAGTAGACACCTTAACCACTATGGCTCTAAGATCCGCGAGCAGCACTTGGCACAGCGGTAAAGAATTCCAAGTGGCATTTGGTATACCCGCTGTGTGGTTGGATTGCGACTCGCAATCTTTATTTTTGTGGAGTTTTCGTCTTTGTTTGTTTGCACCGATTTCGTATCTTACTTAGTAGAATGCGCGCTTCTCGTCCACCATTTTCGTTGTTGCCACAGTTTTGTGATGCACCGACGCGTTGCTGCCGCGCGATCACCAGTCGCACATGAGCTAAGGATGGTTTGGTGTCGCCCCCACCTACTCAGATTCGAATCAATGACCTTTGGATTACAGAGCAAACACCTCGTACCTTCGGTTAGCAGCCGAAAAGTTCCCTTTCATCGTATTACCCGGAAACCCATAATAGCAATACGATCAGTTGCGTTTCACGCACATTTCCTGTTTTGGAACGACTAATACCAGCAGTGTGTATCCAGGCGTTTTCGGATGGTGTATCCACTTAATTTTCACTAGTTCTACTTCAATTACCCACACTTCCCAGTTCCTATCGTCTTTGTTTCAACTTAGCGAATCATCTCCCGCAATCATTTTTGACAGATCGCTTTCTCTATCATTCAGCCATTTATACACTCAGTTAGTCGGTCAGTGACCGAGTGGTTAACTGGTTTCATTCGCAGTCCCACAGATACGCCAACTCTGACCACCACACTTATTGGCTAATTATGCAATTTATCCATGAACATACACGTTAGAGCGTAGCATTCCTCCCAGACTCTCATGTGTCCGGAAATTATAGAGAATACTTGTAACTCGGGGTGTGGATGAGAACATTGTCCTGTTCTCCGAGCTGGGCATTTCGGTTGCGAGACCGCGAATCAGGACTGAATATCCGCACTGAAGATGTTGCCTAGTTTGGCAACGAAACGTCTGCAACCGAAATGCCCAGCTCGGAGAACATGACAATCTTCTCATCTTATGTGTCCGACGTACGCGAATGTACCGATGAGTGGTTATCTGTGGCGCCTAAAGCAGAAACGTGTTTCGGCTTGACATATTGTGGCCAAATGAGGATAGACTTGAGAAAACTGGAAGTGTGTACCGATTCTTGGCGAGCGTTTGAAAATCGGAATTTTCAAGATTGGATTTGCATTTTTAACTGTGGACGATCCTATTAATACCATTGTTTATCTAACTAAAAAAGCCGAAATTGCCAAGAATTAATCACTTAAAGCCCATATCCTTCGGTTTTTGAAATTTCATGTATTTGGGCTTCATTCTGAAAAACCATAGCATCCGCATCCGTACCTTAAGAAATCTTTCAAGTATATCGAATTCATCATTTGTTTACTCACGGTTTATGGAACCCCCATTATATGTTAGCTCCAGTGCATGGTTCTGTCATGTGACCGAACTTCACTCTGGTATTCCATACCATATTTCCCATCAAAAATGTACTTTGTATTCGCACCTTGCAGGTTCCCGATTCAATACAAGCTGCGAACGCGGTTTGGTTAGTTTGGACATCATCTATACGTTTCCAGAGGATAGTGGAACCTATCAGTGCGCTGTCATGAATCCATTTGGAATGACCAAAACCGATCCGATCGCCGTCACGTGAGTTGCACGAGTTCCGTTGTCATGGCAGTCAGGAATGCGTTACGTGGAAGCTAGGTGTAAATGGCGTATGCCAACTTTAGCATTTACTGATTCACGAACTTTGGGCTCATGCAATGGATATGTCAAATTTTCTACGTGGATAGGCTGACTCGCTCATTTTTCTCTGAATTGGAATTGATTGTGGTGGATTGTCACGGGTAAACGGCATAGGCACCAAATAAATAAACTAGGGCATATGTAAATGGTAAGCGGCTATCCCTTTTTCACTTGACTGACTGATCCTAGCTTTCACGCTTAAACTGTGCAACACAAAGATTATTTTCTATAACAGAAATGCCAATAGAATGCATTTCACTGATCGTAGAAATGTATTCCGGTGTTACATAACACGCCTAATTACAGTTGTAAGCAAATGTTTATTTTCAGTAATGTCAAGGCTACGTCGTAGGAATAAATACATAAATAAATACATGGTATATTCCTCGGCGATGCAAGGCACTGTCCAACTATGTGGTCTGATCAATGTATATATGCAAATGTACTGAATAACAACATATACATAATGCATCTATGTGGCGAATACGTTCAGAACATCACTGCAACATTATCCCCTAACTACTGACTGCAGTTTGACACTGGGCAATGATGACTTCACCGAGATCGACGCTTGTATGACCCAGTGCCACAAGTTGCAGAAACCAGCAAACGTCAACCATCATAGAAGGCGTGTACTTGCCCCGTAGCACTGCTCCATGACTGAAATGTCTTAGTGAGAGCGCTCAACATGTTCATCGCTAACAGATCCCAAGTTTTCAGGGAAAAGTCAGTGATCGTTTAGAAATTAAATCTTGTGTGATATTCGAACGCCAACAGCCTGATAGACTGAAGTGTTTTTTAAATGTCTTTGCAGTTCTCTGCCTTTGTTCTACCCAAAACTCCTGTACAAACTGCCTTGAATGATATCCACGCTTCTAACACAAATGAAATCAATTTGCAATCGAATGCATTGTCTGCCGAGCTCCCGTGAATATTAAGCCTAATAAGTATCCCTTCTTTGAGCTTCACATCACTGATCTCGGGAAACATATGTTTAGGGTACTGAAACACAAAACCATCTCGCTTGAGGGCTTTAACGAAGTATCTAATCAAACCAAACGTACTGTGCAGGGATGGTAGATAGATAAGATCAGACTGCACAAGTGGTGTATGCTTTACACTCATTTTCCCTGCAGCATACTCCGCCCTTTCTGGTCACTTTTCTGTTGTGTTGTGCTGTTGCTTTGCTCTACTGTCCCATAAGCACAAGAATCAGCAATATTTTGTAAAGCCTCCTTACATATCCATTAGGAGTCCAATGACATCGAAGTCAGCACAGATGTTCCAATAGTACTTCTGGTAGTTCAGTGCCGCATCTCTTGCATACTTCCGCAAGCCTCCTTCATACTGGTAGCTTGCAACAAGCACAGTTGGGTGCATATTTCCATTGTGGAACATTATGTCCTTAAGACTGGTCTTGGACGAGTCGATGAACAAACGCTATTCATCACTGGTTTGTCTCACACCAAGCTCCATCATCAGTACTTCCACGTCGGAACCATAACAAAAGGTTTTCGCTCGTGTTATAGGGACCGGAAAATTGAACTCTTCGCTTTCTGTATGCAATAACCTTTGTTTGCAGCAAGTAAGTGCCACTGCTGCAGCCGGGATGCCAAAAAATTCGGCCTTATCTGTAGACAAGCCCAAGTAAAGTACCAAGTCATTCAGCTCTAATTGTTCAAGAAAATGTTAACTGACATCATGAGCTTCAAAGTTTTCACAGATGTCAAAATCACGTGAAGTTAACGATGCAGAATTAGTACTCATCATCAGTGGCATGTCCACTAGTGGCACTGTAATGGGTGAGGTGCAATCATTTGGAACAGGTCGTATAGCTGATAGACAATCGGGGTAATGAAGTTTGTCATTGTTTCGTTTGGAGAATCCAATGACACTAGTTATGCAGAAGCAGTAGTCTGTCGTGTGGTCCTTCGGCTCCCCCTCCACACCATGGGGATTTCAAGCGGCCACTTGCCTTTGCAGTTGAGCCACTGAGTCAGATGAAGATTGCACGACGCGCAAACGATATGTGGCGCCCAATTCTTATCCTGATCTCCCAGTTTCATCACGAAATATGCGTGGTTGTCAGACTTCAGTAGTAAAGAAATGGGTTTGCGCTGCGACATTGTAGTGAACCGTCTGCAGACGCAACAAAATGAGTTTGGTCATTGAAACAGCATCCTCTTTTAGCCATGATCAAGAGCTCAATTAAGGAAACACATCACCCAATCGAGTTTCATTATCAGGTGGATACCATGGCCAAGAGGGCTTTTTTTTCCACGGTTACAGGGAGCCAATGGACCAATCACAGGCGGGCATTCAATGCATGGAACTCACTACTTAGCTGAAATTAAAAATCGAAATTAAAAAACCCAACGTGTTAGAAACATTTGGTTTGCATATTCATAATCAGCTCACTTTGTACTACTAGAAACATCCTATCTCATTTCTGCTATAAAAATGATGTTACACAGTGTTGTTTAATGGTTCAAAAGGGATTCGCCACAGCTGCACCTTTGGAAAAGCATTTAACCACTTTTTCATCCTTCCTGGGCTAGGCAGCAGTGCGCTATCCCTCCGCCTGACGAGGGCTTGGAGACTACCTTCCTTCGTTTCTAACTTAATCATGAGGACCAGTAAACCACGTGGGATGAAGCTAGTCTTGAGTTCTATCCTCTCGCTACGCAGATTGAATTCACATTGTTGACGACTCCTGTAAGAACGAATTGGCCGTCAAGTGCTTGTCCGGACGCTCAGTTCCATCTGGATGGGTGTAGCTGTGCCGAATCTCCACCGCAATTAACTCAACTTCCTCCTACACTACTCTCTGAAACCGCAAGTTCCACTGATCATGTCACTCAGCCTGGTAACGAAACGTCTGCAACCATGACACAGTGCTTGAGAACACTTTCACTGTTTGATGCGTCAGATGAATGCAAATTGATGCAGTGCACTCATGCTCTGTTGCCTGTCAGTCGGAACAAGACAGATATTGTTTGACGAGGGATAGATCGCATACATCGGACTACGCATTACGCAGACCCACTGCTTGAATTCCTAGAGTAACCAACACGACAGCTGTAGGACAGCCGGATGATGCTTTCTACAAAAGAAAGTAATGGCCATTTCGGAGTATCGCCATAACCTAATCCAATTACGACGACTAATAACGAAGTAAATATGTTTCCTCGTGATTGGATACAATCTTTGTTAGGTAGACCGGAAATGAACAACTTGTGTGCATGTTGTAATGTAGAGCGCATAGTTGTTGAACTGTATTTTGATTCCTGATGCGCTCATCGACAGCACGATGGTGCAGAAAGGATTGGTGACGAATTCAACTGCGGTGTTTCATTACTGGAGCACATTCATGCCTCTCTAAGTTATCCTAGTAAGAACCCTGTCGGTGCATTCTACTGGCATCTCGGCGTTGCACCACCATGTTGCTACAGCTGCGGTGTTGCTGAATTAAACTAGGTAATAGTAACCCAAACCTAAGTCCAGTCGATTACCTTGACCTAATGTAAAGGGCTGCCATTAGAGTGCTTCACACAATGCCTTTCCGCCACCACCACCACTCCCTCTTACCATGAGAATGAATCCTGAAGTGCTGCAAAAAGCCGAGGTTCCTGAAACCGAATATCTACGCTACTTGGGACGGATTTGATCATCATCGATTGTCAAACGGAATGCTAGGTGGAGAATAACATCGACCTTCGACCGGAAGTAAGCGTCTTAACTACTACAATCTGGTACGTGTTCATTCTCGTTTAGGACAATATCATAGTATCTTATCACAGCTACCCGACGGTCTCTGCGGGAATGCGTACGATGTTGAGTCTAGATGACGTTTTCCTCGTGTGTCTATCGATTGTCTCCTCCACATCACTTAGCACCATCTACGTGATTCCGTCCTTGGTAATGGTAGTGAGTGTTGACAAAAGTTTCATCCAGATGCGCGGTCTCGAATTTGACAATGCTATTGCAGACAGGCTGCTGTGCAAGAAAGCGATCCGTTTGAGTCAAGTTGTCGCTGATGGATCTAATCGGCACCACCGACTCAGCAAAGGTGGAGGGGTGGCTCTGTACTTCCGCAACGACCTCCAATGTGAGATCATAGAGGATCCGGTTAGCACGGCACATAATTCGCTTTGTTGCCGTCTACGTTTAAAAGGTGAGGCCACTTGCTTAGTGGTGGTCATTTACCGCCATCCTTCCTCCACGCTTGAAATGGAGGGTGATTAACACAACTTGCAGCCACATTCTCATTACTGGCGATTTCAACATCCAGGCTCTGGAGTCCCAAGCATCTGCCGGAGAACAGTTTAAGGCGGATCTACAAGAGTTTATCACCAGTTACCCGTTGTATGGACACATCAATACTCCCACCCGATTCCGAGAGAAAGATAAGCTCCAGTACTGGATCGGTTATTCACTAACAAAGAACTAATGGTCGAGAAGACGATCGTCAACCTCCCATTGGGCCGCAGCGATCATATAGTCCTACTCGTCGAATACATTTGCTATGCAATATCCCTTGTAAATCGCCGATGCAACAAAAACGGTTAAACGCTACGACCTGTTAGCTCGATTAGGTTAGACAGTGAACTGGACCTTTCTGGCAGACGAGGGACTAGCTAGTGCATGAGAACATTTCGTCAGCCAGTTTAACTCTGATTGCCGAAGCTTCAGCGACCAAGACCTTACTCCCGAGAAACATGGTCTCGTTTCTGCGAAGCAGCACACGCAAGTGTATAGCGGTGCGAAACTGAGCCTGACATATCTACGAATTCTTCAAGAACACCGATAACTGTATGGCTTATATGACTCAACGTAACCACTGTACTCAACTTGTTCGCGAGGTTAGTATGGCGCACCAGCAGAAGTTGGCAGTGCGTATG